TGTAATTCCCTGTTCGGCGTAGCTTGCGCTGACAACAACAAGAGTCTTGTTGAACGAGACTAACTTAGTAACGTGGTATGAAAAAAAATGAGTAATTGAGATGCAATAACAGTGATCAGTATGGTAGTTTTTGTTTTGCCACAGGTCTACTACAGTCATATAATCCCGACATAAGAAAGTATTTCCCATTTTGTCTTCATCGGGATCCTGGAGGTCCACGCATAAAAATGACCTATGATGTGTTTAATATCTTCTTTATCACAGCTTTCAAAATTGACCCTCTGTCATTACAAAAGACAAAGTGTAGAATTCGCAGAATGAAATAGGTATTGATAGGTACTACCTTCAAAATAAAAAAGTAGTATAATTGACAGAGGTCAAAATTTAACTTTTTTTGCGGCTGATCTTTTTCATGGTAGCATTGCCTAAGGGGTTTTCATTTGAATTGCAGTCGTGACACCCATAAATGGGACCGTACACATACTATATTGTGCTGTTCTTAAGAAAAATAACCTTGATGATGTCTTCGAAAGCAATGATGCTGAACTATTGGATTCAACCCTGAATCCAACATTTACCTCGGTTAATATCATGTTTTCAGGTTCACATCACATCATATTCACCAACCAGCACAAAGGTTCATAATTGTATAATATGTTATACATATTTAGAACCCAAAATTAAAAAACAAATATGAACATATTTGACGAAGCACCTGCTTTAGTTGAATATTTAAATTTCTCAGCACAACCATTTATAAAAGAATTTCAACCTATGCGCTAAAGTTCCATTCAGTCAAAATATGAAACGTCATTTTGGCAAAGATTAAAATACTGATTTAAAATCGATATAGACCGTTGGCATTCTCCTCTTTTGTAATTGGTGTGGTTATAATGTGAAGTGGTTTTATGTCGTGATAAAAATGGTATAATCTTACCTCTCTCTTTTAGCCAATTCCTATTTCTCATTAATCGGTAGATTTTACCCAGCTACTCCGGGCATTTCGGAACTAAATGTCCTTTCGCTATTCTTTAAAATAAGATTGTCCACACGGGATCCTAAAAAAAAATGTGTTTTCTTCTTCTTTTCTTTGCCCAGTGCCCAATAGAGATTTGAAAAGAATGAAAGTTTTCTTTCCATTGAAGTTGATGTGTCGGCAGAGAATACGAAAACTGTAATACTTTCTTCTCTTGCTTCAGTGTCATGTTACCATACCAGAAAAAATAGTTTTTCCTTCCCCTTGAAAATGTCGTATCCTAAGAGGATACTGAAATTGTGATATCGTTTTCTTTTCTTCGCTTCCTTTGAACTTGATGTGTCTGAAGGAGATGCTTAATTGTGATACTCTTCCACGAACGTTAGTGTCTTCGGGAAATTTCGGTCTGTTCACGGTCTGTTCAACTCAGTTCTGAAATAGGTCAACACTTTTCCCAATATTGATCCATTAAGAACCAATAGAATAGACGGAAATGGCGTAAATTGCTTACTCTAAAATATCTTAGTTAGAGTTAATTGTTTGTGGTGAAATAACAAGAGGCCCACTGGGCCTGCATCGCTCACCTGGTATTAATCAGCTCACACTTGTAATCTTAAAAGTGGACTAAAATACAGTTACAGGCAAAATATCAGTGTTTCATTCATAGGAACCTATTAAAAGATTTAAACATATGACACCTGTGACCTTGAATGTCGAACAAGGACATTATAATATTAGGTTGAACAGAGTTTATAGTCTTCCAACCCAGCATGCTTCTGGAAAAATATCATTACCCTCCACCTTTTGGTTATACAGAACAAATCATTTTAAGATTTAAACATATTGACCACTGTGACCTTGAATATGCGCGAAGGTCATTCACTTGGTAGTCCTTCATCCCAGCATGTTAATGGCCAAATATCATCACCCTTGGCCTTTTGCTTATTAAGAAGAAGTCATTCAATGGTTTTGAACATATTTGACCCCTGTGACCTTAAAATATATATGTCAAGGTCATTCATTTGAACTTGGTAGTCCTTCATCTCAGAATGTTACTGGCATTATCCTAGGCCTCTTGGTTATTCATAAGAAGTTGGTTAAAAGTTAAGAATATATTTGACCCTGTGACTTTGAAAAAAATTGAAGGTCATTCATTTGAACAAACTTTATAGCCCTTCATCCCAGCATGTTACTGGCCAACTATAATCAACCTAGGCCTCTTGGTTATTCATAAGAAGTTGGGTAAAAGTTAAGAATATATTTGACCCTGTGAATTTGAAAAAAATTGAAGGTCATTAATTTGAACAAACTTTATAGCCCTTCATCCCAACATGCTACTAGCCAAATATCATCACCCTAGGCCTATCGGTTATTCAGAAAAAGTCGTTTAAAGGTTTTAAACATATTTGACTCCTGTGACCTTGAAAATGGGTCAAGGTAATTTATTTGAACAAAATTGGTAGCCCTTCATCCCAGCATGTTACTGGCCAACTATAATCAACCTAGGCCTCTTGGTTATTCAGAAGAAGTTGTTTAAATGTTTTTAACATATTTGACCCTTGTGACCTTGGATATGCGTCAAGGTCATTTATTTGAACAAACTTGGTAGTCCTTCATCCAGGCATGTTACTGGCCAAATATCATCACCCTAGGCCTCTCGGTTATTCAGAAGAAGTTGTTTAAAAGATTTTAACATATTTGACCCCTGTGACCTTGAATATAAGGCAAGGTCATTTATTTGAACAAACTTGGAAGCCCTTAGTTCAAGCATGTTACTGGCCAAATATCATCATCCTAGGCCTCTTGGTTATTCAGAAGAAGTTGTTTAAATGTTTTTAACATATTTGACCCTTGTGACCTTGGAGATGCGTCAAGGTCATTTATTTGAACAAACTTGGTAGTCCTTCATACAAGCATGCTTCTGGCCAAATATCATTACCCTAGGCCTTTTGGTTACTGAGAAGTTGTTTAAAGTAAAAAGTTGATGCCGGACGGACGACGGACGCCGCACCATGCCATAAGCTCACTTGGCCCTTCGGGCCAGGTGAGCTAAAAATGTACATGTATGTTGTCATAAGCACGACCTAGGTAAGGATTTTGGAATTTGTTCTCACCAGGATCCATGTTCAATAAAGGAATATAAATGATAAAAGTACCTGATGTATTTTGACATTGTCTTCATTATCAGAGTTTTTTTCCCATCAAATTGGACCATTGGGAATTATAAAAGGTCAAAGTTCCATTGAATCAAAGTAGAAAACGTTATTTTGGTAAAAGTTAAATATTAACATTTAAAATATATACAGTATTTGCGTCATAGCTAGTTTCCTCCTAGTACAGTTGTGTGAGGGTTTTTTTCTGTGTTTGTAACTTGTGGGAAAAAGTTAATAAAAATATTTTGACCTTGTTTGAAGCTTTAGAACACATTTTTTCCACTTAATCCCATTCCCCTAAAAAATAACATTTCACCCAAACCAAAACGATTCTACTGACAGTCAACTAGATTAAACTTGTTATCCCCAATTATTTTTGTTGCATTTGTCATAATGTTCGTGTTCTAGACACTAAAATATAAAGGTCTATCATGATAAGCTTTAGCTTGCTGGTGATAACGTTATTCCCCCGATGGGTAATATTCTGGTCTTATATAACATATTCAAGGATTACCTGGACAAGTTTTAAGGGAATCACTTCTCCAGATAGTGACATGATTAATTCAGGAAAAAACACATAAATCTGTGTAGGAAATTCAGTTTACGCAATTTATGGATAAAAAAGGTAAGTTTTCCCCTAATTTCACATTAACTCATTCACCCCTGTAGATACATTTGAACACCTCCAATTCAAACGTTGGAATAGTTCATTATGAAATTTCAGGGGTGAATGAGTTAAAATACCGAAGTTCTGGATATACAATGTAGCACTTGGGAGATCTCTGAAAACAATGGTAATCATGGAAGGAGAAACTTCAGCCTTCATTTTGTATCAACCGCCTCGCATGTCTGTATCTCCTTCTACTGACAAAATACAAGTCAGTGGTGAATCTTGTCAATTATCACCATCAGAGCGTTTTAGTAAGTTCACAGTGCACATTTTATGTTTAAGGTGGAATTTTGTTGCCAACACAATTTTATTTAGACATGTTTTCTCAAAATGCTTAATGATGTGGAATCATCTGAGAAGGATTTTTAAAGGCTGATGTGAAGCCTCATGCCCATTTATTATTAATATTGTATTCAGATGATTTTTCGCCGCAGTTGAACTTTTGGTTACGTCACCCTCGGCAATGAGGTTAAATTAACCCTTTCACCCCTATGCAACTTTAGTAAACTCTCCCATGCATTGATCTGGATGAGTCCAGTATGGTCTACAGTGGTGAAAGGGTTAACCATGACACTGACAGCGAACATTAACGCACACTATACAATCTGCAATCACAACTTGTGAACAAGCTTCAGGGGGAAAATTATGACTCTAGGTCACAGGGCTTTATGGAAGAAGATATTTGAAGGTTTTTAACATATTTGTTCTGTGACTGATCCTGAAAAATGATTCAAAATCACTCTCCACTTTGTAAATCTACAGACCATAAATCATAACTCTAGACCTTACTGTTCCATAAAAGAAATGGTTTAAAAAATATGGTAAAGGCATACCAATGGCGTATGGTTTTGTCATAATAAACAGATCACCCTTAAAAATATTTATCCGTCTGCCTGTGTTTAAAGGGAAATAACTCTTACTAAAAAAATCACCATTGATACAAATAATAAATACATGTAGTTTTAATTGTTGTACAATGATACATCTTTCATTCACAAAATAAATACATTTACATGTACATACAATAATTTATTTACATATAAGCAATGTACACCAATTTTTGTAGAAAATATAACAATGATTTGTGTGTAAATACAATTCTTAGAAAGCAGGTGTACAGTTGAAGGTTGGCATCATTAAAATTATCCGTTTTATGAATATTTAAATCTTGAATATTCACATATTATACAATATTTTTTTGTTTAATGTGCCTGTTGATTCAACAATATAGCTTAATTTCAGCAGATATAGTCAGATAATTCAAGTGTGAATTATGTACATTATTGTATCACAGATATTGCTGCTAAAACTGTCTTCTTGGAAAAAAAGATGTCGTTCTCCAAGGACTCAGGTGTTTCATTGTATGAATGTTGATGTTTACAATGACCGATGTCCCATGTTTGTTTACATTATTGTTTACTTTGTCCACTATAACTTTCTGTACGTGATGGCCTCCGGAGAATCAGATTTCATTAGATGTCCAGGATCGTGTATCAGATCTACTATGTAAGCTAGTGGCGGAAACTTCGGGGCACCCGGCTGTAAATTCAAAGTAAAAGGAGATAATTTAAAAGACAAGGTACTTTCTTCCTGATAGCAATTAAGCTTCATATTTTTCATATCATAGTATGAGTACACCCTTTTGAATCAGTAAAATTGATAGCAATTGCATATGTACTCAGTAAATACTGTAAATGTTAAATTCCTGCGGTATGGAAATTCCCACATTTCTTCGCGGTGAGTAAATTATGGTAAAAATATCTATATTTATTTACAGATAATACAGACAATCGCTATATGCAACATAATCATCTCAGAAAACCATTGCCAACACAAAAATGTCCACACCAAGATCAGTTTCAAGAGTTACGTACATTAATATACAAATATTTCCACATTCGAAAATTACTACTTTTACATTATTTCTATATAATTATATGAAGTCAAACTGTTTATTAGCAAAAATATTTTTGAGTTATGTTGAAAACTTTTATTTTCAATTACTGAATTTTTTTTTTAATGAAAATAGTTTTCTTTTCTTTTTAAAATTCAACAATTCAAATATATACTGTATCTAGGCTAAGAAAACAGTAGTAAGAAACCTCAGAAAGGGAGAGAATTCCCAGCATCTGTGAATCACTTACGGATATATTCCGTCTTTGCGTATTGCAGAATTATCTTCTCTTGTGAGCAGGTATTGATTGTTGTGTCATTTGTTTTTGTGAGTAACATCATCAATTTTTGAGAAAACGACTTAATTTTCTCACACAAACCAATGAGGTGACATACCTGTTCACAAGAAAAGATAACTCTGCAATACGCAAAGACGGAATACTCATCCACACAAGTGATTTGAATTGGTTAAAAAATTCAAGGGTTTCAAACTTAAATACAATTTTTGTATGAAAATACTTTCCAGCCACAGCGTCTGTTTACTTACTGTTGGGTCACTATCGGGCAGCATGATCTCGTTCCAGGCTCGATTGTACTCTCCTCTGGTCAGTGTACAGGGAACAGCAATCTGGTCGGCTAGGGTCTAGCAGGGTAGAAAAACAAGAAAAATATTGATGGATCTACATGTTTCAAATACTCTAAATTCCTAAAATAATTTAATGATTGAGAAATATCAGTCTCACAAATATTTGTTGATGTTAAAACCAGGAACATAGATATCAATGAAAATTCCTGTTATTACCCAAGAAAATTTCACACAAATCTCATTTAGACAAGGACAATTCTAGAGATACTCAATTCAAACTCAACAGTCAATTAAACCAATTCACAAATAAACATTAAATTAATTGAAACAATTCTTCAGAACATGTCGAAAATATTCTTGTCATGCAACAATGCAAAGCATAATTCTGTGATGTTGCTTCATCCAAGATCACATGAACTCATTCACCCCTGACGACACATTTGAACCCTTCCAATTCAGAGGTTGGAATAGTTCATTATGAAGTTTCAGGGGTGAATGAGTTAAGGCTGTGTCTGTCTTAATTACCTTGAAGAGCAGAGCTCGGTGGATGTGTATACCAGTCTTGATCTTGCCAATAGGGACAACGTTGGATTTCAGCTCAAATTTAATCTGACCAATTGGTAGTTCCCAGCTGAAATTTGTGAGTTGTCCCTTCTCTATAGGGCCTCCCATCTTGTCTGCTACAAACCTGGTACAAACAGATTGGATCATTTAACTATGTTGGAAAAGCACTTCTACTAGGTAAATTGCCCTTCTTTCTACAATGAGGCTGCAACCCACGCACTCGGTGACTGGTATAAATATTTTTTATCTTCAAAAATCATGTTATATAAATTATTCAACTTATATAATTCACTCTTGTTGGTCCGTATTTTAGTGAGCATGGGGGTCTCAATGTGGAAGGAAACCAGAGTGTCCAGGGAGAAAAACATGGTCAAGCAGGTGACCCCATATCTTTTCACGTCCGCGGGTGGAATCAAATACCCTGAACACCTTGGTGAAAGGTGAGTGTGTTATCCACTGCTCTACTCCACCACCCAAAAATATCATGTTAGATTTCATGTGAACAGCAGATTATTTTGTGAGAAAGAACATGTCACAGTGACCCCTTACCTTGCCAGAGTGATGACCTGCTCGTGGAGAGAGGGTATCGGCTGGATTTTCTCAATCACCTCTTCCATGTATTTGAGTAGAGTGGGGTCCGAGGGAGATTCGAAGGGCTTGCTATCCCTGCCACCCTGTGACATAGCCTCCTTCAGTAACTGTGCCTGCATCTCTTCCTCGCGTTGTTTCTCCTCTTTGTCTCGCTGGGACCGACTCTTCCTGTGTAAACCAGAGGGCAACCCTAGGTTAGAGGCATCCCCTTAAATTATGTTACTTATAATATCTTACAAAAGATGTATATAACCAGTACATCATACACCATACATAGGAATAACTTTGAAGCTTTACCAGTATGCTTTCATGTTAACTAGCTAGTCCAAATTTCTCAAAAACAAAAAAAGTATTTGCATATTCATTCACTTTTTTTCTAAGAACTCTGGGCCTTAGAAAGTTTAAGCATGTGTTCCTAAATGCACTATTACGGTAAAACCAAATTGAGGAATAGAATCTTGAACTCGTGGTTAACATAGTAGTGCCTTTTCATCTGAACTCAATCACGCCAACTAACGTTCAATTGCTACAAGTTCCCAGACATTTACAGGGTATACTGACATCTAAATTTGGTGCATGCAACTTGGCAATAGAAACGAATCACCATAACAAACAAACATATATAAAAACAATTTTGGAATTTATCAAAATTAGCAAATACATATATAGAAAACTGTAGAGTGTTTGGACATATTTGATACATACACTGCCTGAAGTACAACCTAGGACAATCAATTACATGTAACACATATATCTAATGTTAAAAAACATGTCATATAAACCATAAGAATGCAACAAAATTTCATAAATACCAAAACTTTTGTTCCCCACAAAATATTCAAAATTACAAGTTTTTTGAAGAAACGAAAAATAGAATCGGCCTGAATGTCGCGGAAAGTAATTCAGTTTCAATTAAAAGCATCCCAAAATGGATTTCTCTGATTAACCAAGTGTATAGATCGATGAAATTTCAGTATACATGTAAATCTAGAACAATTGAATACTGTCCAATCAAACACTATCCCTATACATTAAACACTAACTAGTGGTTCACTCGAAAATCTATACCTCAGTTTTCTGTGTGACCAAACGTTTACTGTCTTACCCCTTATATAGCCATTAAAACACTTAACGACTCTGTTTATTATACCAACCTAAGACTCTTTCATGCCCAGGGGTACTGAAGGATAGGGAAATTCCCCCAGGAGTTTTCTAATTGGGTAAAACCCCAGGATTGCGGAAGGTTTTGTACCAATCAGAAAATCCTGAGGAAGGAATTTTCCTATCCTACACCCCTGTACACGAAAGAGTATTTTTCTCTCATTCCAGTCTATAGAATTTAAGTTTAGAAACCAGAAAAAGGTGTCCCAATTTTGGCATCGCGGACTCGAATGTTTCAGATTTTGTGATGTCATGTCATTGTTTTCCCATTGTGATGTCTTACACCCCATTTCACGCGAAGGTGTGTGACGTCACAATGGGGGAAAAATGATGTGACACACACCTTCGCGTGAAATGGGGTGTAAGATAGAAATTTCTTGCACCCTTTCCTTACCCTAGATTGTTGTCATATACCCACAGGAATGAGAGAAAATTAAGAGTACAATTATATACAGCCATGCTAGGGCTGTGCTGTATATCAGGATTAGAAAGCAATCAAGTTATTACATACCATCACCATTACTTTACAATACAACATAAAAACAGGTAAGCTGCTAATTTCAACATGTTTTTTTCTGCATGTCTTTACTGGCTTGATTTTTTTTTTTTTTTATTAAAATACAGCAAACGACTAAATCAACAATTTCAGGCACCAAGATTTCTGAGGTAAATGGATGAATATTACCAATAACAATCTATTGTTCCGAACAGCTGCTTAATTTCCTTATTTTAGATGCTGATACATAGAAAAGGAAATTCATGCCAGGGATGTGTTAAATTTGAAGACATATGAAATATACCCATAATGGACATCATCATTTTTTTTATACATAATTTTTTTTCTTTCCATTACATTTTGTTTTTATTATCTTAAATAAAAACAACTTTTAATTTCTAATTTTTCAGTAATTTTAATTAAAAGTTACTATTTAAAAATTGAAAAAAAAAAAAAATAGTTTGGTGATTTTATATCTCAATACAACTAGATAACAATAACTAGTGAAGAAACTAAACACTTCATGTTTCTCTCCATCAATTTAACCACTTACACCAGCTAATTTGGATCCTACGAATTATAAAATTACAAAAAAAGCCCTTTTCACCAACAGAAAAAGCAAACATTTTGCCAAGGTGTGTGTAACACATGGGAATGAGACAGATTACATAGTACATTGCATCAAATTTAATTAGAACATAAATGTTTATACGTTCATTCTGTAAAAAGCTTGTTTGTGTTAATTCAAACTTTCGTGTTAACTATTTCTAACATTCAAATACTAGTCACCTTCACAGACTTAACACTCTAAAACACGGAGCTATATACATTAGGAAACTAATCGCCACGGCAACAAGTCACGACGACAAAATTTGGTTACATCAACACGAATGTTAATTGACTTACAACGGAGAGCTGGCATCATCCCTGTAAATATTACCGGGTTTTTGGTTAGAAATCTTTGTTATGAAATCATGCAAAATTGATTTAAGCAGTCCAATAGATGATGCCTTGTGTCATACGTTGCAGCTCAAACACTGATTTTCCCATATCAAAACTTTTCCAGGTAGCACCTCCTTGAAACGTTAAGTCCTAGTTTGTCCCTACAACTATTTACTTCCATGCTTCTGAAAGTAGTTATCATATAAGACATGATATTTACTAAATGCCCCCCCCC